CCCCCCCCCCCCCCCCCCCCCCATCTTCAGACGTTGGCTCCTATCTCGATCAACGGCATTCAGGTTTTTTTTACGAGGGGATTAATAATCTCTATAAATATGAGGGGTAATTTGTTCCTTAGCGTGCTGAAATTGGGGCGATGATGAAAGAGTTCCTGTGAATTGACACTGCAGTTACACTTCTGCTTTTTCAGCTGCATGTCCTTTTCAAAAGAAATCTATTTAAACAAAGTTCTTTGATGCTTCTGCTACTATTACTATGATTTAAGGATCACATGGAAATGTGAGATAATGGAGAATATAAAACTCCTTGAGGACGTCACATGAGCGTAAATATCCCGAGCAGCGAGTCTCCGGTTTGATTCCCGGCTGGCCGGATTGTTTGCTGCATGTCATTCCTCAACTGTCTTTCCCCACATGTCCCGTCTCTCTCCACTATCACATAAAGGCATAAAATATCAATTCAGACTCTTAAAGATTGAAATGTACTGTTCTGCTGGTTTTTGGCTTTTACCCGGACATCTTTGTGTTAATTCAGTTTTGTTGATTATTTTCCAAAACCATTTTTGTAGCTTTGTTTATTTTTTGGGTTGCTATGAAGATTTGAACCGATGTCATGTTGGCATGAATTGTTTTGGTTGAGGCACCAAGGCTGAAAAAGACAACCATTAATTCATCCCTCCTTCATTTATGTCAAACCTTTTTCACAAAAGAAATGCTGCTTCACAATTCAGACGCGTCTACAAACGAACTGCGAACTAAGATATAAATGAGCGACACGGTCGGCTAACTTCAGTGTTCGTCTGTTAGAATAAAATAAGGAAGAGTCGTCCGCTGTGGTTGTGGCGCACCGAGCCTCTCGATTGCGGGAACTGAGCTGAGGACGTGCAGCATGTGATCGTTATAGTTCCTTCCACCTGTCGGCTCACCTGCTGGCCTCATTTTATTTCTGTCTCCTCTTGATGTTTACTTTCACTTCTCAAGCTCGTATCTGCTTCACTTCCACTTTAAAATATGCTGCACGCCGTTGGTTTGCACCGCCCGGAGAGCAGAAAGACTAAGTTTTTATTAAGGGTGGTGTTTTTATTCTGTGTCCCTGGAAAGGTCACTTATCTGTTAGGGGAAGTGCAGAGATATGTTAACGCGTTGCCAAGAGCCAAAGTAAAATATGGAAAGGGACGAAGGTTTTTATTCTGATGAGTGTTAGAGGGAGGAAGATTAGAAATGCAGAAGATCAGGTTGAGGCAGGGTTCGTGTTTTCCTCCAGGGAGGCAAAACATTCTGAAATTGAACCCACCCACTCTCCTCTTCTCCGTAATGGATACCAAGTTTGGACATGGTTGTCAGTTATACTGCACCATCCCTTTCTGCATGACCACAGACTAATTCAACTCGACATCCGTCTGACAAATAAACTCAGTTAAAGTTTAGGAGAAGAGTTTAGCCGGTCACCCACTTTTTGCTCTCTTTGCTCAGTTAGAGAGACTGTTGGAGAGTCCTGGAACTTGAATGAACAACACAAGTAAAGTAGCCGTTTTGTTGTGAGGCGTCCTCTTGCGGTCAACCTTCAGTCTGACGAGGGCATCGATTTCCAGCCCAAAACCACCTGGTGTCCGACTCCACCGGGTCCAGGCTGGGTCCAGTCCTACTTTACCTAAACCGTCGTCAGTCTTAATCAGTTCCGATCAGTTATTCGTCAATATGGAAGAAGTAGTGAAGAGGTAATTTGCATTGGGAGAACTTTGTCCTCACAGTAACATATGGAACAACTTTGAGATGAGAACATTTCTGTGTTTTGTAAATCGTGGGCCGTGTGAAAATGCTTTGGTTTGACAGTTAAAGGATGGAGAGTTTAAGTTCCAACAATGGTTTGAGGGTTATTGGATTAAAGTTCTGAACGACTAGAAGGACATTTTGTTTTATTTAATCGTTAATAGGTTAGTGTGTGGAGTGTATACAACCTCTACTGCAGTATGTACCTTGAGTTACATTCGATGAACAAAATCGTCTGAATCTGGCTAATCTGTTGCCGCAATCTAATTACATCCAACAAAACATCTTGCTGGTATATTTTTGTAAACTTAATCTCTTATTTCTCCTGTTTACCGTGAGACTTTCACAGCAAAGACAAAAGATTGATAGTTGCCATCAAAACCACAAACCTTTTACCAACGTCGTCCATCGTGTTGTTTTTAGCGCAGTGATGGCGAAGACGGTATCGGATTCTCCATATGCACAACCACAGCAGTAACAATGATTCTACCTGGACATGTTTGTAGTCAAAGCATCTTCCGTTTATCTCCCACATCCAGCTTCTCCATCCTCACCATCGCTGAATCCACTGGCCTATTTAAATCATTTCCATCTGGTGTATGTATCTGTTCTTGCGCTCCAAACGCCCCTCAGGCCACGTTTAGCCTTTGTTCTGCTTCATATCAACTGAGCGGGATAAACGTCATGTTCTGGTAAGCCGGCCTTGTTCTGCTCTCCAATCTTTCCATCGTTCGTCTCTCTCCGTCTTTCCCCCCCAATACTTACTGTCTTACTCTTTGTCTGTCTCTCTCTGATGGCTACAGACTACAGTGCAGGTTTTTTTTATTCGATCTCTGCAGTAATTCTGTGGGCTAGTCCAGCACCCAAGCCTTTAAAGCCAAGGCTTAATTTGAAAGAACGTCTGGGAAAGAACGTTCTGGATGCTTCAGCTATTGTTTATCATCTTTCGATAAATCATTTTGTCCGTAAAATGCTCGAGAACAATGGAGGTCATTTCTACAAATGTATTGGTTTGTCCGACGAACAGTCCAAATACCACAAACATACAATTTAAGATTCTAAGAATACGCAGGAAATCGTCACTTTTCAGAAGGGGGAACCAGCGTTTGACATTTTTGCTTCATAAGCTGCTGAGCAAATGACCTTTTACAGTTTAGCCAATATCCAAAGATACTAAGCCCTGATTACAGCAAAAATGCAAAACCCATAATGTTTTTGGCATCTTAATCCCTTTGCAAGAGCGGAGCAAGCAGCTTGGTGGTTTTAGAGACTTGAGACTCCCCCACATTGTTTGTTTTTAAAGTAAACATCCTGTTGTCTTGTCCTCTGGCAAACTCTGTTGATGGTTTGTCGATCCACCACTTTGGTTTCGAGTGAAAGATGTCCACTTTGAAGTGGATTGCCATGAACTCGGTTTAGATAGTCGTGGTCCCCAGAGGATGAAGCCTGCCGACTCCGATGATCCATATAATTCCCTCATTAGATCAAAAATTGTCCAATACTTTGAATACCTTCAAAACTAATGACATTCCCATCAGCCTCAGATGTTTTTGCTAATTAGCAGATGTCGGCATGCTAACACTCTAAACTAAAACATTAAACCTTGTAGATATCAGCACGTTATTGCATTAATTTAGCATTTAGCACCACTGTACCTTTGTGTCCAGCCTCATAGAGCTGATAGCATGGTTGTAGGCTCTTAGGTTTAAGTCATTAATGCCAGCCAAGACTAGATCGAGTCTCATGTTTACGGGAAAACTAGGTGGATTCGCAACTTTTGAATTAACGTACTGTTAGTGACAATAGTGATCCCCTATACTGTGCAGGTATCCCTGTATTTGTGTGAAGGATACTTGTCTTTTTAGATCAGATTTAGAGGACGGAGCAGATTGTATTACAGCGGATAGACAGCGGGCTCATACTGGCAGGGCTTCAGTTATCTGTCCGTCTTGTTTTCCTTGTCGTTCATATCTAATCCATCTCTAAACGAGCCGCTGCCCCCTCAGGGCGTTCAGATCTTTAACAAGACGGTGCTGGAGCTATTTGTAGGGAATACTTCTAGTTTATGCCGTGAAACAGATTTAGTTTTTTCTGAACAGATGGTGAAAAAGGCTGTTGGAACTGATCATTGAAACAAAACCCGTTGTTAGTCGGAGGCTGTGGGTGTCTAATGCTTATAATAAAGCTGTTTTTGAGAAACTTGTAAATGGCCCCCCGACACAATCGGGCAGAACTTCACACAAACCGCTTTCATGTCTTTCACTTTA